AAAACTTTCTATACCTAGATAAGAAAAAATCTAAATGTAAGAGATAGTGGAGGTATCACAAAGAATCCGATGCATGTTCTTCCTAAAAAAATTCGCCTAAGAGACCGATAACATACCCAGTTATTATGATATTACATTTGATTATCAATTACAGAAAAACTACGTGTATCATTTTACTTATTTATGAGTCGTCCTTCCTTACGGAGGAGTTCCGGAAAAGACTTAGTTGAGTCATAGTCCGTCCATGGGCCGCATGCAATAAAGGCAGCGGCTCGGCAAAATTTTTTTTTTTTTTGAGATTTGGTGCTTACCCGGTCCTATTCACTATGCTGAATCCGAAAGTCCACATTAGAAAGCGCGAAAACGGCGAAAAGGGGCTCCAACGGAGGAGGAAAATCAGAAGTGGGCGGGGTCTTCCCCACTGCGGATTTACGCTCCAAGCTTCCGGAGCAAACTTCTCAGTCCCGATTTCAAGTCATGCATTTGCACCTGGCCTGTGGAGATCTCAGGGCGCTAATGGAATTGAGAAAATTGCTTCAGAAGCTGGGATCGTGAAATTCACAGTGGGGAAGACCTCGCCCACTTGCTGTTTTCCTCCTACGCTAGAGCCCTTTTTTGCCGTTTTCGCACTCTCCACTTTGGATTTTCGGATTCAGCATGGCGAATAGCCCGTATAAGGAGAAATTCTCAAAACTGAGTTTTTGAGCGGACACTGCCTTTAACGCGGACCTAGAAAGCCTCTGAAAAAGTACATTTTCGCCAATTTCATGCGCTGAAAATCCCAAATATGAGTTTCTCATGGCGAGAAAGCCCCGCAAAGGTGAAAATCTGGAAAACGAAATTCTGCCGATCTGCCCGGACGCTGCCTTTAAAGGCAGCGTCCGGGCAGATCGGGCTTATGAAGATTTTATGTGGAAAGTACTTTTGGAGCCCTAACTAAGGCACTGCTCAAGCGGCAGCGCAGTTAGTGCTCTAACGGTTGAGATATGCCCCCACGAAACTGGATCCCGCGATCGTATTCGCATGGATTCATGGCAGTTTCGCGCCAGGATCCACCTCTGCGCCATGAATCCACGCGAAATACGATCGCGGGGTCCAGTTTCGAGGGGAATATTTCAGCCGTTAGAGCACTAGGTAACTGAGCTGCCGGTTGGGAGGTGGCTTAGTTAGGGCCCCAAATTTACTATTCACGTGAGATCCCCATATGTCCAGACTTGCCTGGACGCTGCGTTTAGCATCCCCGCTGGGGAGGGGATCGCAGCTTGAAAGAAAGCTTCATATCTTGAAGCTCCACATATCTGGATTTTACTGTCTACCTATCAGTAAGTATTCCTACTATCCTTTAATATGAACATATTCAACAGGGCAAGAAGCTGTACAAGCCGCATTTTCGAGCTTTCTGTATGGTCCTCTGGTGATTGGGGGACGACCGTCTACTCTTTGAAGTCATTTTTCTTTCTTCAAAGTTGATGAAATTCCAAAGTTGTATTGCTTATCTAATCCAACAGTGCTAAGCATGTCGCTGATAAAAACAAATGATGTTTTGTAGTCATGAATTTTTCGATGAACCACAGGTCGAAAGTTGGGGTTTATCGGAAATTTTGATATTTCAGAAACTGCTCCATATGGAATGTTTCGCCTACTCTGGGTTGAAAAAGACTGAAAAACCGTGATGATGGATTAGACTGCTGCTTTGGGCCCACGGAGCAAAAAACACTCATACAAAAAGACTTCACCCCGACCCGCAACTCAGTCATTTCCATTGTCTGAATACCATCATGCGAGCAGAAAAACCATTCGAGTAGAAAAAACTAAGAAAATACGAAAAACTACACCCAGCGCTGGACTAGGCAGACCACTGCTGTCTCGATAAATCAATGGTATACCCTATTTCACAATACTTATAGAGCATTCAAAAAATCGTGACTATGGCGCGAACGCGCGCGACACGCAAGCGCGCTCGGCAACCACGTTTTCTTAGTTTTCAACTCTACTCGAGTGTTTTTTCTGCCCACCAGTGGCGTACCGAAGGGGGAGAAAGAATGGATCGCGATTTTGAAAGTTACTTACATGAGTTGTAAAAATGCGCAGGTGACTTATCATCTATTCTTTGACTAGGAGACGCGAGACCGCATTGCGTACATTGTCTTTACAAGTTTGAGTTTGTTCTTCCCTGTTTCCAAAGAGTGGATAAACCTGGGCGAGATGAATAACAAGTATAATCCTGCTAAGTACCCGATTAGGCGTTTAGGGATCGTTCATACCGCGCACAAAGGCGGACGAAGGCGCACGAAGACGGACGAAGGCGGACGAAGCCGGACAAAGGCGGACGAAGACGGACGAAGACGGACGAAGGCGGACGAAGCCGCACAAAGGCGCACGAAGGCATGTGTGAGTGTGTGTCGAGAGAAACGAGACGAGGCGTGTGTGAGTGTGTGTGTGTGTCGAGAGAAACGAGACGAGACAAACGCGCCTTCGTCCGCCTTTGTGCGGCTTCGTCCGCCTTCGTCCGTCTTCGTCCGCCTTTGTCCGTCTTCGTGCGCCTTCGTCCGCCTTTGCTCGCGGTATGAACGTTTCCTTGAACAAAGCGTGCAGGGTCTCGCGTCTCGTAGTCGTGGAATGAATGATATTTATACTTATTTATACTTGTAAGTAATTGAAATAATTTTAAAGTTTTTTAAAAATTTAATTTAGCCTTATAAAAAAGTTTTTCGGGGGCGTGGCTCATTGGGGTTATGGGCCCGCGAAAATTTTGCGAAGCATATCAAAAAAATTTTCTGGGTGCGTGTCGCCCTCCCTCCCCCCCCCGAACGGAAATCCGGGGTACTCCACTGCTGCCTACATATGATAGCATTTGGATATTGAAAGTGACTGAACCGAGAACTGAGGTGATGCCTTTCTAAAGTGTTTTCTGCTCTTGTAGGCGCAAAGAGCGCAGTCAAACCCGTCCTAAATTTCATGAATAACTTATACATGGTTGCCAATTCCGCTATAGGTACGCGATACTCGCTACTCCGGAGAGACGACCATACTACGAAAACCTCGCTGGGGTACAGATGAAAACTTTTTGCACCAAATGAACTGGACACCCCAACGGAGACGGGTTTAGTGTATCGGAGAGAGTGTGCCGCTGAACATCTCATCAGATCGACATTTACGTGCGAAAACCAATGCTTTTGCTAACTTCGATGGTGTTCTCTAATCCATCTCGATAAACAAGATTTAAAGAACGTTGAAGGGTCAAATTCCATTTTACTTCATTTCAATGACCTAAACGTGATCTCTGGTCCCTAGATGGAGCGGCTGGCAACAAACACAAGTAATCAATATGGCATAATTAGTCAATCACACATGAAAATGTATCGTGTATCCCAGAATTGTTTCCATATGAACCATCAACGTGGCTGTCTTTCGATCGTTCTAACACGTTAACTCCAGCAAAAAGGCATTTGTTCGAAGTTGATATGTTGAAAAGATCGAAAGACAGCCACGTTGATGGTTCATTATTCTGGGAAGCGCTATGTGTATCGTCCCTTCCACATTTGCTGCCACCCTTCTGGCGTCGCGGACGTGCCGCGTGTAACTAGCATGTTGACAACGTTGGCAACATGCAGCAACATGTTGGCATGCCCAAAGTGTTCTGCCAACATGTTGTGGCATGTTGTTGCCACATTGCCAACAAGTTAGCCACACGTGGCAGGTCTGAGACGCAGACCAAGGGTAGCAGCAACTGTGGAGGGGACGCCAATCGGCATGTAAGCTGCAGGAAGCACAGAAGGTGTCCTTGGGTCCCGTACGTATGTACAGGTTCTATTGATATGTTCCCTTTAGGTAATAAGTGACCAGAGTTGTTACTCTGACAGTAGATAATATGATCAAAATTTAACTGCTTATCTCACTGTCATTCAGAAATTGGAGTCCCGATTTTTGAAGCCCAGCTAACCTACTGGCGGAAGTTAGCTGACTATAGCCCCGGGGAAGAATCAATTTTCGGAAGCACAGTAAGATTGACAGAACTTATAGAAAAGCCGAATGACAATATACGAAAGGTTCCCAACTAGCTATAGGGCATTCGAGAAATCGTGACGATGGCGCGAAGCACGCGACACGCACGCACCTTCTGGCAACTGCATTTCCTTGGTTTTAATCTCTCTCGACTGGATTTTCTGCTTAGGTATGATTGTACTTGGACACGAAGTGACTGAGCTTAGCGTTGAGGTATGCCTTTTTGTATGAGAGTGTTATGCTCCTGTGGGCGGAAAGACCGCAGGCAAATCCGTCGTCACGATTTTACAAATGAACCTTACTAATAAAAGCGAGGCGCAAGGCCAATGACACACGCTCTAAGATGGCCTGCTTATCGTGGCGAGTTCTTGTTGAGGTCTTCATGGTCGCATACGGTGTGCCTGCAAGCTCAACCTTTTTTTTTTCTTTTCAAAGTCATGTGGGAACGAGTTCAAACTAGATATGAGCGTTTTTTCTTCCCCTCTTGTTAATATTTCATAAGCGTTTTCATATGGCACTTTGAGCAGGAATTGCTAATTAATCATCAGTAGCTTCATTTGCTAATCCGCTATGAACACAGTCAACACATATAAGAAGCAGATCATGTCATGCGCTTGATGATGCAATTATTCTAATAGCACGTTGAGTCCAGTTTGTGGTATCACACTTCAATGCTGGCACACCTTCAAGAAAACATAAAGAATTCCTACAGCTTTTCGTAGTTGCTGCGCCTAAAATTGCAATCTCAAGCTGCACTCTGTTTAGTTGGAAAGTAGCTGGCTAGAGTGGGATGGATACATCTATGGTAAACTAATGGGATAAATGAAACCTTAGCGAAGTTAGCCAGAATTCGAAATTTTGTTGGGCGATTTCAGAGCAGCACGATTGAAGAAAGTTCTTCGCGCTTAACCACATAACAAACCACAAACCAATTCAAAGATAACGCCTAAGAAACAAAATTCAGCAGCACACCTCCAATGCAATTATTCGAACAACGGTCCCCGCAGTTGCCGAACGATTGCGTGTTGTTCCCCAGCAAGCGGTTTTACCGTCTCGTCAGGGCACCGCACGTTGGTCCCGCGACGATGTACAGTAATCGATTGCATGAAAACGCCGCCGATCGACGAATAGCGAGCTGTTCTGCCGTGCTTCTTTCTTCAATGTGCTATCGGTGGATCCAGTGACGCTTGCAAACTCTTTCGATAAGATTTCTATGGATATCAAGTTTGTTTTGTGTTTAAGACGTGCTTTGACATGCCGTTGCCGTAAACTCACACCCATTGCAGAACTGAGATTCCCGACACGGATGACGATTACTTGAAGCAGCAAACGTCTCTCGAGAGCTCAGTTGAATCCAAATCGGAGGTATTGCGTTATTTCTGTGTAATACTTCGTCAGATACATAGTTGTTTGCGTTTTTCACTAATTTTTGCGTTAGGCTGGAAATGGTGCCGTGCGAACATACATTATCAGACCTCTTGATGCTTCTAGAGCCGCTTTAAAGAGATCTATTCAAGACCGTGGTAAGTTCTGCATCCCGATATCTGCTTTTTTCCGAATTGGTTATGGTTACAACCGAATTGCTTGAACTTCAAAGCAGTGTTTCTTTTTTTTGTGATCTAAACTTCGCCGCTTTCGCGCTTCTTTCATATTACCACCAAACCTGCTCAACGACAAAATGAGGGCGTATAACTCGGGGAGTCATGCCCATAAAAGTCTTACATACACTTGTGCTACTTGTATATTGAAATTTGTACTTCCTATACTGCTTCTCACTAGAAACATCTATAAACGCAGCTGTATCTATCTATTCGAATCCTTTCTTTTAAGATGGCTCCTTGACTGTGAAGTCTGAATGTATAGATGTGGAAAGTGGAAGGATTTTGAGTGAGTCGCCGCAAACTCGCAACGTCGTTCGCACAGCAAGCATTTCAGAAGGTGTGTTCAACATTTTTCTAACGAAATGTAGAAAACAAATAATGCCTGATGGACATTTACCCTAATCACGAGTACAAGGCGCACTTTTTCCGATTTTTCAAGCGAGCCCCTCAACCGCCTTGCTGTGTTTCGGAAAATGATACTTATGTTGCACGATTTTCTCAGGCAATACGCAGCAGTGTATAGGAGCGTTTGGTCGCTAAAGTTTTTGATAAGTTCAGGCTGGTCGAAATTAGGGAAAAACAGCTGCGTCCTGTACTCATAAAATTGGGGAATACTTATAAAATGAAGTTACTCTGTTTGCAATCATGGTTACTTTCGATTTCCTTTTTTTTTGCTGTTTTTCCAAGGCAGGCACTACTTTCTGCAGGAAGCATCAGAACCCATTCTTGCCTCAAAATATAGGAAAGAAAGGAAATACTGCTGAACATCTACACTTTCAATATTTGAATTAGACCTTTTTCATGACCGTCTAGGGGACGAGTGGCGTAGTGGTATGAGGCGCCGCTATGACCAGATCGGACACAGGTTCGATCCCCGCCCCTGGGCCAACCAAGCCTCTACCCTCCGGGGCCGGTAAATTGGTACCAGAGTAATTTGGGAGGATAAAAGCACTGACTTGAAACGGCTGGCCCCCGCAAGTCACTGTAATAGGCTCGCACGCATACAATTGCCTCTTCGACTATGAAGTTAGTGTGTGCGTTCGGCGCATGCCCTCAGAGGGTATTGAAGACGCCGAATCCTTTATCCTCTATCCATGACCGTCTGAACAGGAGGAAAAATTAGAGGGATATGAGCCAAATTTTGGGCACATATTGGGGCGGGACATAAGTTAATCTGTTCCCACTAAGAATCATTGATTACGATTTATTGATCTTTTCGCTGTTTCTGCCTGGCATTTATGCCAGGACCGGCCTGAAATGTTAGGAGGAATTATCGAAGGAATCGAACGAATCGGAATAATAGGAATCGAACGCTTGCAAACACAGATTCGGGGGCCTACGATTGTAAGCTATTTTTGCGATGTAGTGTCGACTGGCTCTATCTATTTATTGATCTGCAAACGCCCTGGGAAACTAAATTGGCAGAGGGGTAGGTGAGCGTGCTTATTACAAATAGGACATTTTCATTACTTCCTTCATTGGCCAGTTTTATTTTGTTTGATTTCTTGGTTCCTTCACTTATGCCAGAGTCATTGCCGCGTAGCGGCTGCAGAGCGGTTGGATCATGTACATTTTTGTTTGTTAGACCTCAAACAAACTTGTAAATGTTCTGCATCATTTCACTAGAGACAAAATTTAGAAGCATTTTGTCTCTGATATAATGATTGTTCATAGATAAAGGAAGATTTCGTTCAGGCGGGGTGAAGTTTTGGCGGACAGCTAGTGGCAAACTGTTGAGATTGGATCCAGCAAGTCCGCATCCCCTCATTGTTCGCGATTCCATAGGCGAATTGGCTTCATCTAAACCTAGACTTGTCAGACTGGCAAATGGCAGATTGGCAAGAATTACGAAAAAGGCTAGTTTGTCCCTTGCAATGTAAATCCATTCAAAAAGCACGTCATGCTTTTAGAGAATACCCGCATCTTTATTACATCAACGTACTGCGTCGGTGGCAAATTCGAATCAGTTTCATGCGAGTATTCAGCGCTTTCCTGTTCCCTCTGCAACGGCTAGCGTGGCTGTATCAGGTTTGTGCTTTATTGGCATTGTTCATTTTTGCGCACATTTTTGTTTTCACAGACGCCATCGATGCCTCTTCATTGATGGGAAATGGCGCGGAAAGTACGGAGCTGTTCGAAGTGCAAAAGAAAGAACCTTCTCCGGCTATCAAGGCCGAACCAGTAGATGAAAAGGAGTTAGAAGAGCAACAGGAGCAATCTTCATTGCCTCCTCCAACTTCGGAGGCACTGAATACATTGCGAACACCATCTCTCGCGGCAGCCTTATGTGACGTGAATACAGCTCCAACCAATGTGGTACGTTGTTTCGTCAACCACGTATGCGTTTAGCATATCTTGAATATCCAAAGGTGGAGCAAATATGTGTACAGTCGAGTAGATTTTCCGCTTAATATAGTGTGCTTGCACAGAAGGTGAAATGCGGTAAAATTTGCTCGTGAGAAAATAGCTTCGACTGTGTCGCCGGCCAATTGCGCGCGCAAAATGCCGGCAGTGCTGGCGCAGCTAACTGTTCACGCGCAAAATTTACCGCATTTTACAAACTGTGCAAGCACACTATATTAAACGGTAAATCTACTCGACTGTAGGGTTTTGCGTAATGCGAAAATGTGATTTTCTTGCCATTGCACACGCAGGATGCCTTTTTCCAACAGGTCAAACAACGCCGAACTTCTCAAATCATTCCCGTTAAATGGAAGCGAACCTCTGATAGCGGAAAAGCGTTTGAAAGGAGAAAGATAAATGAGAATGCTCATTGCGCGTGAATGGCCGCGCACTGCGGGACTTTCGCGATCACGCAGTGCCCTATAAATATGTCTATAGTAAGCTAGAAGGACGTCTTGTTTTTGTATCAAGCGGCGTATGAGTAGGAGGAAAAAACAGAATACTCAATTTTTAGTAGTGTTTGTGGTTAACTTCAAAAGCAACATTGTTTTCTATTTTAATGCAATTAGTTAACCTACGTCAACCCTCGTCCATCCTTCAATTTGTTTAGAGCGACTTGGTGAAAATTGTTGATGAGCCGCTGTTCAATCCCACGCGATATAACAACAATTCGTCATCGGATCACTGTAATGTATGCAAGAAGGTACTTCCTGGAATGAAAAGGTACATTTTAGAATGTGCACCACCCACATGGGAGTAAGTCTAGCGATTTCCTCATTTTTCAGGCATTTGATTACTGTCGAAGCACGTCTCACATGTCTTGTAGATGCTGTTCAGAATTTAATCGTACAGATGAATCCGGTGTGTTTTGTTTTGTGCATGCATGCGATCATGAAAATTCGGCTACTTCAGAAGGACTTAGAAGCTGCTCAAGCAGCAGCCAAGGCAGCAAGCGCTATCCAGGCGGCCAACTCGAATCCTCAGGAACATTCTAGATGCTGCTCCTCATATCGTAAGTCCTTTAAGAAAGATCACACATGCACTTTACAAGGCTTATGTTCGCAAAAGTTAAAAAAATGAGCATGAAACAGTTGGATTGTGCCCTTATGTTCTCCGCAATTAGCCTTTTCTAGTTGCTCTGATAAGACGTCCTTTTTGAAGTTTGTGCAACTTAGGTAGGTGGGAGTTCTTGAAGATGCTCCCATTGCAAGTATATGTGTTTGAACTGTTATTACTTTCAATAGTTTTATTCAGTATGATAATATACTGCTTTATAGGCGCCAAGGAGGCTAATTCCATCAGTGAGAGCAGGAAGACTACACAAGAGAGACCATCAGCAAAGTTGACAATTCCTCGTCCGAAGCCTGATAACCAGTCAGGACCACCGACGCAGGCTGTAAAGCGTCCTTCTATTCTGCGGCCAGGAATTGTGCGAATTATACGAACCACTCCAACTTCTCCGTCAGATGCAGTTCAACCCGGAAGTGTCACCGCATCTCCACGATTTGTCTTAGGCAAAACTCGGTTTGTCGTCGCTGATCGAGCGCAAACTTCTCGTACCGTGAGTGCTTTTTATAGAGGTTTCATCGTTAACATATTATTGTTATACCATTATTCAGTGTGGTTATACTATGGTAGTCATTGCTTGATTTAGGTATTTGCTGGAAATGAAGCTGCTGGTTCTGGATTGAAAGTTGCCACTCTAAAGTCTGAAACTGGTACAAAAGATGCTACGAGCTAGAAGAAAAATGACGCAGCCATGGTATATGCAAATGCTGTTCGATCTTATCCCCTCAATTCCAATTTTTTTCAGTGATCTTGTTCACTTTGGGACTACTCTATGAGCGCTTGGCTTCGACTATGGAGAAACTTTTGTTTGCTAAGTTGAGCTTGTATTAGAATCTCATGGCCAAGCCGTTTGTGTCAGCGGTTATATCTCGTTTTTGGTAAAGACGTCACCTTCCTCACTGTCAAATTTTGCGTTTGTTTTTTATGACGTTGACATTTTTTATAGCTTGTATATAATCATAAGTAGTTGGAAGTGTATTTGTGTGCCTGTGTTTCTGCTTTTTTCCGCTACAGAGTTTGTAAATTGGTTTGTATCGTCTCCTATGAAAATATTGTTATCTCACTCACATCGGGTTATCCTTTAAGTTGGTGAATCATACGTCACATATACGTTGTTCATAGATCTTTCTGTTTCTGGATTGTTGAATAAACCATTACTTAGTGTGTTGATATTGTATAGTCGTCAGAGCGACTTCATACCTCTTATTTTTCAAATGCATAAGATATATAGTAGGAGCTTCTAGTATTTTCTAATTAAAAAAGATTTACTTGCGAATTCAGCATCAGGATAAGCAGTGAAGAATCTACTGCTCACGTCGTGCACAAGCCTAGGTAGCCTAGGTAAAAAAAAGTTTTCGGGTTTGATGTAGTGGGTCTTTCCTATCTTGCTATCAGCAAATTTGCTTTTTTAAACTGTGTTAGTATCCCTAAATGAAACCTTTTTTGTTCTTTCATTTATTGTGCAGCGAAATATTCGCGATTATCTCGAAGTTGTGCGTCGATGAATTCTTATTCAAGGGTGAAATTCCTAGTACAGGCAAAAGTCTTCGGTTTTTTATTTGAATGTTTGCCTGTTGGAAAGTACAGTTGGTATGGATAAGCAAATAAAAAGGACTAGTCGGGTGCACGTGACTCTGAAATGTACTGTGCCGTTTCGTACACTTTCGATAAAATGCGAGATTGGTTTTTAGTTTATTATTGTTTTGTGACACCTTGTGCCAAAACTATATCTTGTTATTTTCTCCAATGATATTGGTCAGCGCCAATAAGCGAATATCGAATTCATCGTATTAGCAGTTGTCGGTATAGTGCACATAGCGCTACATTTGAATAAAGAAGTGTTTGAGATAAAGAAAGCTGAGAAAATTTTGTTGGCGGTACTTGCGTCTGCATTTTCTGGTCCCTCGATCAGCGTAAATCATCACTAATTCCCTATGAAATAAATAGATTTTTTCCTTTATAGATATGAGTACTCTTTAACTAATTCCGTATGAAATAAATAGATTTTTCCCTTTATAGATATGAGTACTCTTTAAGAGGCCCCGTCTCGAATGTTTTATTATGTACAGTCGCAGACATCTCGTTTGACCCCGATGAATTTCCAAGATCAAAGACAGGTATTCCCATATGAATAAATACAATTGCATGTCAGTCCGGTCTTGTGGTGCGTTACGACTGTTAATATTGTGGTAATTTGTGATTCGATCAAACTAACAGGGGCAATGGAATGACTGCGACTGCTTTTCCACCAGTAATAATTGTGCAAGACAATCCCGTATAGGGCGATCATCAATTTTTTCCTTACTTTCAGTCTTGGAGGCGGTGGCGTTTCTAAGTTTCCTCTGGAATAGTTTCAGTCAGCAATCAACGCGAATGATCGACCTAATGCCTTGCTTTTAGTTTCAGATGCTGCCTGGTTTTGGCTTTCCAATATTGAATGTCAATCCAGGATTAGTCGCTGGTCAGCAAATCTTATTGAATGCGAATGCACTACAGAGAGGTTTGTTTTTTTTTTCGCGGTTTCGTGGTAATTCCCATTTGCTTTTTCCAGTAATGGTCTCCTCTGCGAATCCATTGGTACAAGTACCGTTACCGTCTGCAGCGCCTGTTAGTGGCAGGCCTACACCTATGCTCGTGCCACCCGGAATGGCAGGCGAAGAGAATCACACTGAGAGTCCGCAAGCACAGCCAGTTAGTATTTTGATTCTCAAGGTTTTGAGCGAATAATCAGTTTTTTTTGCACAGGACTGTCCGTGGACAAAACATGAAACCGCAGAAGGACGAGTTTATTACTATAACAAGATCACAAAAGAGTCATCATGGAATAAGCCCGATGAGCTGAAAACTCCACAGGAGCGTCAGGAGGTGGGCAGAGGCTTTCTAATTTCACCTGTAAATCACGTGGTGTCAAGATTTTCTTTTTCTATACACAAGTCAGATTTTTCAGTCATTTTTCTTGAATATCTAGATTTAGAAGTTCACCCAGTTTCTGGTGCATAGAAAGAAGGAAAGCCGGAAACGGAAAAAAAATTTTCATTCAATGTTTTTAGTACCATTGAAGTAGTCCTGAGTATCATAGTCAGTTTTTACCATTACAAAATGAAAAGTGTTAGTACGCTGGCAACTGTTTGAATGTACAGCGAAACGTCAGTATGGAAAATTCTGCTGCAATGATCCCCAGAGATATGCATGAAGTGCAAAATAAAAAAACATGAAAAGTGACCTTTTCATGTTTGGTTTGATGATTCGAAGTCGATTCAGCGTTCAACTCCGACGGCATCTTCTTCCTCTTCCTCAAATGTCATTTGGAAAGAATATAAAACACCGGAAGGCCGCGCATACTACTACAACACCGTCACAAAGGAGACTACTTGGACAAGACCCGAATGTCTAAACACACCCGCCTCCACTACTGAAGGCAACGTTCACAACTTGATTGGTATGAATTATATGTTTTCATATTCACTTTTATAGCATCGAAGCCTGCTGCCACTGCTGCAGCTGCGGAGGAATTGAAGAAGGAGACAAAGGAAGAGCCCAAGGAAGAAAGCGAAATGGAAAAGGCCATGAAGGCTACACTTGCATCGATGACTGTGCCTTTGCCAACAGAAAGTCATACAGCCACTCCTGAACAGGCGGTCAGTGTTCCAAATTTTTGGGATTGAACCAGAATGAGGTTTAGCATCTTAAGGTGGAAGCTGCTGCAGATGATAATGAGCAGGATTTAAAAAAGCGACAAGCTGAGCGCTTCCGCGACCTGTTAAGAGACAAGTATAATGAAGGTTGGTCGTGCAAATGTATTCGTTCGTTTTTCTTTGTTCATGGTGCCCAGTTTTACTTCTCCGTTCTCTGGTAGGCTCAGGCCCGCAAAAGAAGTCTTTCCGTAAATTGTTGATAGTACTATCACCATAATATCTACCTTCACCTTTATTAGTATGCACATTATCACAGATACACTATTCATCTAACGTATGTATCAGAACTTCGTGTCAGAACCTACGTGTCATTATAGATGACGACGTGAGATTGAGCTTGCTCTTTATTTGAATCAGCTCATAGATTCTCAGCAAAATGTAACTTTTTGACATATTATATGAATAGGAATACTTTGAAAGCTCAGTGCATTGCTGTCTGGATTTCTGAACTCAGTTATCGTTATTTGATCATTTTCGTTAAGGCAAAATCACTTCTACGTGTAATTGGGAGCATGCTGTTAAGCACATCCAGAGCGACCCGCGTTTCCGCATCCTCACCAAGGTCAGTTCCGACATCTGATCACTCAAACTCAAGTTAACGATTTTGCGTTTTGAGGTGTCAGAAAAGAAGCAATTGTTCAACGCATGGAAGGTACAAAGGCAAAAGGAGGAAAGGGTAAGAATCAGCAATATGTCATTTGTGGAGTTTTCACATGTCCATTTTTCAAGGACGAGAAACGTCTTGCAATAAAGAAAGCTAAGGAGAATCTGGAAAAATGGTTGCAAGACCATCCTAAAATGAAGCCTGGTCTGAAATATATGAGAGCGCGAGAGATATTCAGCAAGGAGGCGGTCTGGCAAGCAGTGCATGAGGATGATAGACAGGATATCTTCCGTGAAGCTTTGGTAACTAATCATTTTGTCTCTTTGAGTCAGCAAGTTTCGGAACTTTTTCTTTTGCAGGCATATGTAACGAAGAGAGATGCGGACATGAACCGAGAAACTAGAAAACGCAATATCAAAGCGTTAGCGGAAATATTGGAAAGCATGGATCAGATCACATACAAAACAACTTGGGCACAAGCTCAGCGACTGCTTATAGAAAATCCACAGTTTGCTGATGATACCACTCTACAGAGTGAGTTCATAATACAATACAGTATGCACTTACATCACTACACAATAGTAAGCACACCTCTTTCTCAGGTATGGATAAAGAGGACGCTCTAATTGTTTTTGAAGAACATATCAGACAAGCTGAGAAGGAGCATGCTGAGATCAAAGAAGCAGAGGTATGTGCCGTCATTATAAGGTCCACAGCTGTTCAACAATTATGTCTCTTCGTAAATGTTTTTATCAATGTTTAAACTGTAGCTGGTTTTCAAATTTGTTTAGTTTGTTCATGAGAGAGCTTGATGTTTAGCAACCTTTCTTAGGATTACCTGTGTTGATGATTTCTGTATCATCAACCATTGATGAACTCTATATTCTAGATAGCCTACGGAATACCCGTAGGCTAAATTGTGAGCTACTCACTCTTGAGTATCTAATCACTCAAGAGTGAGTGGTACCTGTGCGCCAGGAGTGTAGCCAATCGGCGGCACCTCCTTTCAAGCACCAACTCGTGTACATTGTACCTTTTACTCGGTTCAGCTCCGCCTTCCTTCCTATATAAGGAGCCTCCGAATGTATTAGAGGTTGCTCCCCGGTCCACACCGGGACACCTCAACTCCTCTTCTCGAATAATCTACGCCCGTGCGAATAAACCTTATTCCACAACTCGTCTACCCCCCAATCACTTGGTACCCACCAAATTGGTGCATCGGCCAGTGATTTTCCTTGCATTTCTCGGCGAATCCTCCTAAGGACACGAGAAATCAAGGCCTAAGACCCGCGTGGCAGGCTCTACTATAGCCAATATTCGACTCTCGTGATTGCTGGTCCACCACTCTCACGATCAAGAGTCTTACTAAGTTGTCAGGTCCTATCCACAACTTAGTAGAGGTTTCTAACTAACTGACTGGTTCACCACAGTTAGTACAAGAACTCCTCGAGACTTTTGGCTTTCCTAAAGTCAAAAAAGGACTCTGTGATTGTTGGTTCACCACTTTCACAAAAAAGAGTCATCTTGCGAAGCTATCAGGTCATATCCATAGCCTAGCAAAGAGGTTTTTCTAGCTAACTGACTGGTCCACCACAGTTAGCAACAGAAATCCTCGAACTTTTGGCTTTCCTAAAGTCAAAAAAGGACTCTGTGATTGTTGGTTCACCACTTTCACAAACACGAGTCATCTTGCGAAGCTATCAGGTCATATCCATAGCCTAGCAAAGAGGTTTTTCTAGCTAACTGACTGGTCCACCACAGTTAGCAACAGAAATCCTCGAACTTTTGGCTTTCCTAAAGTCAAAAAAGGACTCTGTGATTGTTGGTTCACCACTTTCACGAACAAGAGTCATCGTGCGAAGCTATCAGGTCATATCCATAGCTTAGCAAGGAGATTTTCTAGCTGACTGACTGGTCCATCCACAGTTAGCAAAGAAATCTCAACTTTCCAAGCTCATTCACGGTCGGTTCACCGATCTTGAGCTTTGGATCGTTACATTCACGGGACAGGTTCCAACACCTTACCGTCCAGTACAGCGTACAAGTCAACCAGGCGCGCTTGCTGACAGCTAGTAGACGCTCGGCACCCACTTGCCAGCTCACTAGAAAGCTTCCTTGCAACCAGTAAGGACAGCTATCGTATCGAGGCCAGCTCTGCTGTCGCCCTCAAGCCAAAGCGATCAACACAAGGAGGATACACACTTTCCAAATTGTAACGCTTGGGATTACCACACCAGCGCACGACTCTACCCAGTGCAGCAGAAAAGAAAATGGCATCGCTCCAGCTTTTCAAGATCAGGATTAACAACGCCTGCAAACTCGTGAAATCCCACGAGTCACAAATTGAAACCATTGATGTCCCCTTCACATTCCCTACACTGAAAGAAGAATGTGAACAGTACATAAAAGAGAAAACGGGACTGATAACCAATCTTCTCAACTCTCTACACAACGCAGTGAAGCTTCAAGAGACGCAAATCAACTCCGCGATTGAGTACATTAGCGCACGGAATGAGGAAAAAGAAAGAGACAAACTGATGATGGAGCTCAGCAAGCACCTAGAGATGGAGTCACTTGAACTGGAAGTGATTGTAGTGCAGTGGCGGACAAGGATAGAGTTCAGGCAGCATGAACTGAAAGAACAAGACGCACTACTGCACTGCGATGCTCCGAGCATACCGAGTCAACCAAGTATTGATAATGGACAAGCTTGGATTCCAGAACGTAATGAAAGGAAAATCAAAATTCGGAAACCTCTGCTGGAAATCCCTACGTTCTCAGGCAATTTCCGAGAATTTAATAGCTTCTGGACCGTCTTCGAATCTCTCATCCACACTGACGAGGAACTATCGGATACAGACAAATTCCTGTTTCTAAAACAAGCGTTAAAGGGGAAAGCAGCAGCCACTTTGAGCTGCATACCCGTCATCGGAGACAGATATCAGACAGCGATAGATATCTTGAAGAAACATTTCGATCGCTCTGCCAACATGGCAGATATACTTATAAATGAGATCGAAAATCTACCCAGGGCCTCAGATGATCCGAGAAGTTGCCGAGACACTTTCGAAGCAATCAACTCAAGGATCATTCACCTGGAGCAAACGGGAGCAAAGATGAACGCAGACAGACTTTGGCGTCGAATAATCTTTTCCAAATTTCCCGAATCCATCTGTACGACCGCCATCCAGAATGAAGCGGTACAAGATGATCCATTTGATGTTAGCGAAATCCTGAACGCCATCGACAGCATCATTTCACTGCGAGAGACAATCTTGCTAACAACGGAAACTCTCTTTCCAACCAACTACTACCCAAATAACCAAGAAGATGAAAAGACTTCCAGATGCAATAAAGAAAAACACTTTTCGAAATCAAAACACTTGTGTTTATGTGGACAACCACATTCTCCTCACACCTGTCAGAGGTACACCACACCAGAAGCCCGACGACTTAAAGCAGCAAATCAAGGAGTGTGTTGGAGATGTTTTGCAAGCGATCACAACTCTAACGCTTGCACGAATTTTGGCGTGTGCCCCAAATGCAAAGGATCACACCATGGATCTCTTTGTTTGTCAGAAGCAGGAAAACGCAGAGGATTCTCGACACAATACCGAGATCCTGCACTTGATCAACATTCACCTGCTCCTTGGTCATCCCGTGACATCAGTCAGGATCGTCATGAGAAGAGCACTACGCACGTCGCACAAGGCTCACGACAAGAAGTCTACAATCCCGAAGTGCTTCCACTTGCACAGGATCAATGCATTCTTCAAATTGTTTCGGCAGCCATATTCAACGAGGCAGAGTGGGATTACCAGCCAGTAACGATACTACTTGACTCCGGTGCACAACGAAGTTTCATCAAATCAGGACTTTGTGAAGAACTCAAGCTTCCAGTCCTTCATACTACTTCGTTTACTACATCTGGGATGGGCGAACAACAAGAGCAATTCAACTCATCTGAAGTACAAATCACCCTGAAAAGTCTTCACAGCTCCGAAAAGCTCAAGAACTTGTCAGTACACACTAAGCAGAAGCTGACTACCGACATGCAGACAGCAAGTCTCACGGAAGCAGACTTGCGTTTTATCTCTGATGAAAAGCTGATAATCGCTCAAGATACGCTCTCCTGCAAAAGCGTTTCACCCGACATGATCATAGGACAAGATCTCCTAAATTTCGTCACTATCCACAACGACAGAGTGCGCAAGCTTCCTTCAGGACTCATTCTGACCCCAACCATCTTCGGATTCGTTATATCAGGGACGAGCTGCACTATCACCACATCAAGATTCATCGGCACATTCGGCTACATATCAGCGCTAAAGAAAACACTGAGGAACAACCGCCCAACTCCACAACACAACGAGAGATTGAAGAAACCCAAAGCGTACTCTCATTTCAACAGCGCGAACAGTCGAACATGCAACAAGCCATTATTGCCAAAGCAAAATGAAGGGACAATCCAAAGGAGAACGATTCCGTCACGAGCGATGCTACAACCATGTTCTTCATCCAAAAGCCGACAATCCACCTTTACAAGGTCAACAGTCAATGCTTCCATCCTCGCTGAAGCTCGAGCAGACAGACAACGTTGGTTGGCCACAATACGTTCCACGACGAACTCCAATGTCCGCCCCCGATATGGGATAGAATGGCTACCGCAGCGATTCACAAACAATGAAGCCAAGATAAGGATGACGAACACACCGGAGAGAAGACATCATGAGTACATACATCGTGTAAGAACGCCGTCTATCAAGGATATGGTCGTCAACGAAGCAACTACCGATTCAAAGTGGAAGATGAGGAAATGGCGAGGACGACAAGCAGCGCCAAACCGCCCACCAGCTCCAGCGATCACTTCAGATGCTTTTATAAATTTACGTTAATAATTGTACTTGTGTGTATGTTCAAGTTACTTGCAAATCCTCCTTCATAGCTCATTTTTCTGTATGCGTAGGTATTAACTTATTCGCTAGTCAACTTCACATGTATCTGCCACTAATTAGGATCTTACCAGATCTCACTTTCCTCTCGCTCGCCCGGAGTGTTGATGATTTCTGTATCATCAACCATTGATGAACTCTATATTCTAGATAGCCTACGGAATACCCGTAGGCTAAATTGTGAGCTACTCACTCTTGAGTATCTAATCACTCAAGAGTGAGTGGTACCTGTGCGCCAGGAGTGTAGCCAATCGGCGGCACTTCCTTTCAAGCACCAACTCGTGTACATTGTACCTTTTACTCGGTTCAGCTCCGCCTTCCTTCCTATATAAGGAGCCTCCGAATGTATTAGAGGTTGCTCCCCGGTCCACACCGGGACACCTCAACTCCTCTTCTCGAATAATCTACGCCCGTGCGAATAAACCTTATTCCACAACTCGTCTACCCCCCAATCACTTGGTACCCACCAAAACCTGGTACAAAAAAATTCTGAATATGGAGCGAAACGCGTTTTGCGACAATTAAGTATTTTGACACAAGAATTCTGCGCAATTTTTCTGCTACCCGTGTAGGCTACCAAAAAGTTCGCGACTTTTTCCCCCTCGGTTCTTCCTCCTTCATATTTTCCTGTTCTATGCTTGCATCTTTGTTACTTGTGTACTTTACAGGAGCGTAGAATAAAAAGGCAAGAGCGCAAAGTTCGTGAAGATTTTACGAAGTTCCTTCAAGAGCTGCATAAGAAAGGTAGCCACATCTTTCAGTTACTCCAGTGTGGCTAGTAATTAATCTTATTATTCTTAGGTGAACTGACTTCAATGTCTCTCTGGTCATCACTGTATCCTGCTATCTCTTCTGATCCAAGATTTGATGCAATGCTTACGCAAGATGGTAACCTTTATAAATTTCAGCTGTTTCTAATGATTATTCTATTTGCAGGCTCAACACCTCTTGACTTATTCAAATTCTATGTAGAAGATCTGAAAGAGCAGTATGGACAAGATCGACGAGTTATCAAAGATATATTGAATGATCAAAAGAAGGTCGTTCAGGTGAGGCTACCAGCTTTGTCTGCCAACATTTGGAAAGAAAAGCCTTTATTTAGGTCGATACAACTTATGAGGAATTCTCGAAATGGGTTACTTCGGCTGAGAAAGGACTTCTAGTAGATCATGGGAACATGAAGTTGTGCTACAATTCCCTTGTTGAGAAGGTAAAAAGGAATTTCTGATCTGGTGTACTGACTACATCTTCCGTTTTAGGCGGAGTCAAAAGAAAGAGAAGCGGAAAGAGAGGAAGCTAGAAAGAAGAGGCGTCAAGAAAGCGAGTTCCGTCACCTTCTTAGGGCACAGCAGCCAGCTGTCGATGCCACCACTGAATGGTCAGCCGTACGTGGCAAGATAGAGAAGGAAAAGGCTTTCATGATTGTGAGGATTTTGCTCTGTATATATATATATATATATTATATATTATACTTGTAATATATTATACTTGTTATTTGTGATGGCCAATACAAAAACAGCTAAAGCAATTTTCTTTTTCAGATTGAGTCGGAAGAGCTTCGCATCAAATACTTCGAGGAGTACAAAAAGTCCCTCAGCGAGGCTTGCACTCATCATCACTCGTTGTCCAAGAAAAAGAAGAAAGACAAGAAGAAGAAAGGAAAGAAAAGCGATGTAAGCGAGTTTTGAAATCTCGTCCATATTAATTAATGCTACATATTATATTTAGAAGGAGTCAGACAGTGAAAGCGAGCCGAAGGAAAAGAAAAAGCGAAAGAAGCATTCAAAAGAGGAAAGAGATAGTGACGATGAGAAAGGTATGCATTGGAATGGTGTGAGCTCTATCATTGAGAGTACTATATTTGCAGCACGTCGTAAATCTCACAAACGTAAGCGATCGCGATCACGTTCGAGCTCACGGAGTGGAGACGAAAAGAAACGAAGGGTACGTTCAGTTAGCGCAATTTTTTACCTGTTTGCATTACCCCTTTTTTGCCGATCCATGCAATACCAACTTCTTTTTGGTATCGAAATCTATCTTTATTAACAATTTTTGTTGGGCTGCATAGTAAATGCTGAAATAATCATTTTTTATGGAACAGTACAAAAACCACATTAATGTGAGGTTTCATTGCAACAGCGACATGCTTTCATGCAACTTTTCCTTCTCTGGTCGTTTATTTCTATCAGGTTTCGGAGGAGACCAATTATAATGTCTGCATCAAATGTTATCGCAAACTAAATGGAAATAATGCCTAGTTGACTTTCGAGTTTTCTTATGATAAAGATCTATTTCAGGAAGCTTCCGATTCTGACTGAGGTGGACTATCTCCATGTTATTTATCACATTTTTTCCAAATAAATAGTCTTGATTGTATGTGGGCATTAGATCTCGTTAAAGTTGGCTACAACATATTCATTCGTGTTTTTTACTGTAAGTGTTGTTGCAGTGATTTATCGTGCTTTGTACGTGAAATAAATCTGGTCTTATAATGGTTGTCAGGACGCTATATTGTAATCAGACAAAAGATTATCTTGCTCATTGCTTTTAGATATATGATCTGTGTCTGGGATTTCTTTCTAGAAGTACCACCGCTCTGCATGCTTCTCGCGCCTTTGCGTGCTTCCATACCTTGTGCTTTCACCGACGCGCAAAGGCAGCAAATAGGCTGCGTTGCGGTGGTACCTTTAGGGAGAACTCAGGACACAGACTATAGATGTATTCGGTAAGTAATCATTATTTGTTTGGCAGATGTCCAAATCATCAAAAAGCGGCCTTACGGAGCCGAAAAAGGTGAGATTTTTGGCTGTTGTATTGTCAAATAGATGTTTATGACTAGTTTCCTTTTTTTCATATTAAAATGTATGATTAACAAGAAAATGTGGCGAGCTAGCAAGGCTTATTGCTTCTTGACAACGCGCGAACTTTTTGTATCAAGCATGGCTTGCTGCGGATAGGCGCCCAATCCCCTACAAAATCACTCTGCGAGCCCGAATTATTTGCCGCCATGCTTACATTGACTTTTGGCAAGTTTCGCGGCCGAAGGGTCATTTGACTACTGTAGACGGGACGGGTTTTGCGGGGGTGGGGAGGGGGGGGGAGTGCGGCCGGCGCTATCCATAGGGTGGCGAGCAAGAGGAACGATGGCTGGCGGCTGTCAGTATTCAGCGTATCTTTTACCGTTTTTTCCTATTCTGCCCGCGACAATTCAGAGCATTTTCTTTTTCTAAGCTGTCTATCAAATCGAGAGTTGATCAAAATGTTTGCTTAGATATGAGGTTTGGAACACGTTAAAATGTTGAAAAGACGTTTCAAAGGTGAAACTTTGAGATTCACGTTTTTCAAATGACATTGCCTGCGCTTGTCACCGGTTTCCGAGCGATACTCACTGTTTGAAACTGTTATCTCACATCAGTTCTACTCGTTCTCACCGACTCGAAAATTTCAGATTTGTAAGGCAAATAGTGCTTCGCTATTCCTTGGCAGCAGCGGCTGGAAACTGCTATCGTCCCTCTTGCGCCGCACCCCTATCCTAGCGCGGCAGTGGTAACGTAGAAGTAGAAGGAACAAATTAATCAAAATTTGCTTGTAAAGAAAGGTATGATAGAATATCACGTTGGAGAGCACCGCGAAGCATATGGTATCGGAACTTATATCCAGAAAATTTGCGAGGGTGCGCCTTATTTAGGAAAATGAGGGCGATTGACCTGTTTAGAATAGGGTTGGAAGAATAGTTATGCAAGAAATAAAAGTAGTACTAATATCAAGTTGCTTGTTGGGAAATATGGGTGGGAATTACAAGAATCAGAGATAAAAAAATCTGTCACTTCGCCGCAACACACAATTTTATGAGTGGCAAACTCTAGTTCACGGGTGTTATTACAGTTTCAATAACTGTAAATATGCAGAGAAGGGCTTTGATCTTAGTCTGGGTTCATACTCGACAAGTGGTGGTGTATACCTTTGGTTCAGCTGAATTGGCGGCTGGAAGGCGGGGCTTCTTAAGAGGCTAGGAAATGATCGAGCACGTTTGCGAGGAAGATGCAGACTAATCGCGGACGCGAGCGGTGTCTTCCAGCCGCCAATCTGTTGAATCAAAGGGTAGTTTCAGGGACGCTTCGAAAGTGCCGGACCTTTTAGATCATTTTCCTAGAAAAAGCCACCGAGAGCGTCACTGACAGAGTTTCCAGAGATAGAAGCAACATGATCGCGAAACAGAAAATTACCTTTAAGAAATCATTCACGCATTATCCGTATCTATCACGGCCTATCCGTGGTATCCGCTCTATGTCAGAGTTCCGTTTCACTGGAAGGAGTGTTGAAGGCAGTGGATCGGCAAAATGGACCCTTCTCGGATTTTAGTGGATTTAGGTAGTAGATGCCTCAAGCATGCTCCACTGTAGCCCAAATCCCGCTTGTCAATATGCTATGCCCTGAAAACTCGGCTTCAAAACTCCACAGACCTCGCTTATTCAGTGGTAGTGGGCCGGGCTGGAGGGATTTGAAGGCATTTTTCAGGACTTAGCGCATGAATTGGCAGGTGGGGTTTGGGTTGCAATGTACTTAAGGGATTTACTACTTAGATCCACCAAAATCCGAGAAGGATCCCTTCTGCCGATCCACTGGCTTTAATAAGCGAAACGTAAAATAGTGAAAGCAAACAGTAAATTTCAATTTATCCCGCTGGCAAAGATTTGGGCGGGGCTGAAATTGAAACTGTGACGAGATAAGATCCGATCCGGCGCGAGGCTGAGACTGGGCCCTATGAAGTATCCTCAGTTCATGTTTTCTTGTAGTTTTAAAGCATCTTTGCTTGGTACCTGTTAATGTCTCACATAAAGTTGCACTAGGCAGATCTTCTTGGAAAAATATAAGCGTTGGCATGCAACTGAGTTGTTTAGAGCAGAAGTTATCTTATGAAGTTGAGGAAAGTGAAGATGTCTCCTTGTCAGCAGAGTAAAACTTCCGTAGAATGTAATACTAATGAGTAATTTTACAACATAGCATCGGTCATGTATCCTTCTATTCTGAATTTCTATAGTATCGTATCTTATATATAAAGCTGAATGTCTGTTTGTATGTATGTCTGTATGTCTGTCTGTCTGTCTGTCTGTCTGTCTGTCTGTATGTGTGTACGTATGTTCCGAATAGAAAATTCCATTTCTGAACCGATCCGGACCAACCTTGGCACACATACGCTACGGGCCCCGGCGGGTGTCATAGGCTACTTTTCGTCATCGATCGATATCGATTTTTATCGATTTTTTTGCTGAGTTCACCTACGGGGCTGGGAGTTGGCACAGGGGGGTAATCGAGCATGGGGATTCCGAATACAATATTGGTTTTCAGGATTATCGATTACTTTTATCGATTTTATCGATTTTTTTGCAAAGTTTGAGCTACGGGGCTGGGAGTTGGCACAGGGGGGTAATCGAGCATGGGGATTCCGAATACAATATTGGTTTTCAGGATTATCGATTACTTTTATCGATTTTATCGATTTTTTGCAAAGTTTGAGCTACGGGGCTGGGAGTTCGCACAGGGGGGTAATCGAGCATGGGGATTCCGAATACAATATTGGTTTTCGGGATTATCGATTACTTTTATCGATTTTATCGATTTTTTTGCAAAGTTTGAGCTAGGGGGCTGGGAGTTGGCACAGGGGGGTAATCGAGCATGCTGATCATCCCCAAGGGGGTGATCAGCATGCTCGATTACACCCCTGTGCCAAATTCCATCCCCCTAGCTCAAATTTTGCAAAATCGATAAAATCGATAGAAGTAATGGATAATTCCAAAAACTAATATTGTATTCGTAATCTGCATGCTCGATTACCCCCCTGTGCAAGCTCCCAGCCCCGCAGGTCAAACTTTACAAAAAAATCGATAAAATCGATAAAAGTAATGGACGATCCTGAAAACTAATATTGTGTTCGTAATCAGCATGCTCGATTACCCCCTGTGCAAAATCCCAGCCTCGCATGTCAAAATTTACAAAAAATCGATAAAATCAATAAAAGTAACCGATAATTCTGAAAACTAATATTGTATTCGGAATCCCCATGCTCACTTCCCCCCTGTGCCAACTCCTAGCCCTGTAGGTGAACTCTGCGAAAAAATCGATAAAAATCGGTAAAATCGACATCGATCGATAACGAAAAGTGGACTGTGACACGCGCCGGGGCCCGAAGTGTATGTGTGCCAAGTTTGGTCCGGATACGGCGGAGCCGGGTAAGCCAGCTAGTTTTGTCATAAAATAAGTTAGTGTAGCAGTTGGCAGCGAGAGTAGGGCAAACATCTGACACTCTTGGAAGAGAAGAGTTTTGATTAGAAATCAATCACGTTATCATCTTTGATCATGACTCACGATAGAAGAATCAAGGGGCGCCCTGTAACTGCACCAAAGCAACAAAAGTTTTTTCAGTCATTCCAGTTACAAATGACCTTGGCGACAAAGAGGTTTGCATTTTATATGTTGTTTCGGTTATAATTAGAAGCACACTTTTTAAAATTCAGCGTAATCTTCTTTCGCATAACATAACGTTGGCCCTATTTGTTTTTTTCTGCCAGGCTACGTGGCAGTAGGCGTTCTAGCGTTTTTCCATCTCATCGTAGGCATAGGCTGCTTGTTGATGCAAATATAGCAGCAGCTATATGCTCATTTGCATTACAGAATTCCTCTCTTCGCATCCAAAAGTTCATTTTTCATAAGCTAACTATCAGTTCAATTTTTCAGATGAGCGCCGAGCTGTTCTCGCTGACTTATGGTGCACTTGTTACCGAGATGCTGCGAGACTATGAGGACCCGAAGCAAGTGAACATGCGATTAGACAAGGTAGAATTGCTTGATTGTTGAGTTATATAGCTATGAGCTATACCGCATATTTCGAGATTGGTTTTAATATGGGAACACGATTAGCCGATGATTTTCTGGCAAAGAATGCGCACGTGGCAAAGTGCACGGACTGTCGGCAAATAGCAGACGTACTATCAAAGAATGCCATCCCCACCTATTTAGGTAAAAGTCTCTTGCTTGTATTTATTTATAGCTTTGATTTGCAACCTGTGATTGATCAGTGCCCCATTTTTTGATTGCCGTTTATGTCAGCGTTAATTTCAGCACAGAGCTGCCGCACTGATATTTTTATGTTTCAGGCGTACCCGCAACAGTATCAAACTGGGGCGGTGGTGACCGTGAATTTTCTCTTATTATTGAGAATAATCCGCTGACGGAGCTTGTTGAAGTTCCTGCCTCATTGTCCTCATTGAACTACTCCCAAATTATTGCTGGAGCTATCCGAGGAGGACTTGAAGCCTTACATTTTAAGGTAATCACAGCATCAAATATGCTTTCTCGAAAAAAAAATCGCAATATTTTGCAGGTGTACTCAAGTGTCATTGAAAATCCCACAAATACTGAGATCAAGATCAAGTTTGACCAGATTTTGAGAGATAACCTGCCTGCCGGTGAAGAAGATTGAATAAAGATTGTGCATAATTGTTAAGCTTCTAGCATTCCTCTGAGTGTACAGGTATGATAAAGATATTTATACTCTTCTATAGTGTATCAAGTCAACTTTGATATCCACTGTTTTCTTTTTATGGAACTTGTACGTAGCGGGGAGCTCTAACCGCAACTGGGCAACACATTCTGCCTAAAAATGAGTAGATTCTGGCGAGTTTTTATCTTGCAGTGCAGTATACTTGGGACCGAATCGAATAATTATTCGATCATTCGAATAAATCATTCGAATGCGAATGATTCGAAAAGTCGAATATTCGAAAATCTGAGATTTCGAATAAAATTCGAAAGTCGAATATTCGAAATTTTTTGTTTTCGAATATATTCGATAATCGAATATTCGGAAATCTTCATTTTCGAATATTATTCGAAAATCGAATATTCGAAGGTCATTCATTCGATCATTCGATGTCCATCAAATATTCGAATATTCATCGAGCACCGAATATTCGATAATTCGATAAGAAATGACTATTCGAAAATTCAATAGGCGCCGAATATTCGAGAATTCGATATGCATAGCGTATACGGGATGTTTCAAAAGTATCTACACACCGTTTGATCGCTAATACCTCTCAAAGTCTTTTGCCAATTTCTGGGTAACATCCAGTAGGGATGGCTTCAGCTTATGAATACAGCAGAAAGCGAATCACCCATGTTTTTCTTATTGTGTATTATCACAGTAGGAAAGTCCAGCTTATAGACCAACTGCAAAATAAGGCATCCAAAAAAATTGCTGTGCAGCAGTGTTTTTACGTATGCTGATTTTACTACGCACGAGTTTTCAAGCTTTTCAAATGGCAATCACATTTTTGAAAGGCGTCGCAAAACACTTGTTGCGGTGTATCGTTTGTTCCCAGCAAAATTTCCATAGGTATCACCACGTCATGTCGCTGCCTTTCGCTATTTTGAACGTGTTAATCTCGGGCATTTCCGTTGAAATCTCAGGAGAAACGTGTCAAAAAGGGCAAAAGGCAGCGTCGCACCAGTACGCAGCTGATTCGCATGGAAACTTTTCTGGGGCACACAGGATACCTGGCGTAGGTTTTGAAAAAAGCATTACGGTTGAGTGCAAATTCTACATAAAGTGAGTGTCTTTAGAAATCTAAAGCAAGACTTCCAGCCCTTTTGATTCTTTTTCTTAGGGAAATGGCTCTTGATGTTTTGAAACCCACTTCAGTCCTACGGCAATTTTACAATAGTGAAAAGCGATTGATAATCGCCCCATACTCTAAGTTGATGTCAGCCTACAGATCTACATATGTTGGGACCGCTGTATACCCAATCGCAACTCTCAGTGAGGGTATATAAAGTACGAAAAATCTTTTCACAACCGTCATAAGAGTAGCTTGGTTCCTAAGTCTCTCTCTTCACGTCACGACTAAACCGTTTTTCCATCGTAAATTGTACCATAAGAATGTGTCCATTCTTATCATTTACATGAAACAATTTATTCTTAGCGTTTTGGCCTTTCATAGGCAGTCTCAATGATGTAAATTATTCGGTCAGTATTCGAAAATCGAATGATATTCGGAAATCGAATAACATTCGAGAACCGAATAATATTCGAAATTCGAATAGCGAATGATATTCGATATTCGAATAATATTCGATTCGAAGTTTTCATTTCCGAATAATATTCGATAGTCGAATATTCGAAATTTCCGATTTTCGAATAATATTCGAAAATCGAATATTCGAAATTTTCAATTTTCGAATAATATTCGATAGTCGAATATTCGAGAACTTCGATTTTCGGATATTATTCTATATTCGAATACTCGAAATTTTCAATTTTCGAATATATTCGATATTCGAATATTCGAAAAAAATTTCGAATTTCCCCAAGTATACAGTGCAGTGATGATTTCTTATTTGGATGTTGGCGGCAGAATGTGGTTCCTTCAGTAGTGCAAAATTCAGAGTCTCTGTAAACTCGCTGAAATGCCTGGTTATTTGGCAGTGACCCTCTTGTGTTTCCTTTGCGCACATCCTTTATGTGGGTAGGAGTTGAATTCGAATCTTGTGTATAATGTAGCAGCATTTTTTTGCTCCTACTCTCTGTCTTTCGCTATTTGCAAATCCAAAAAGTTGGTTTGAAGCTTTTAATTTCCCGAATCTGCGAAATTGAGAGTGAAAATTTATCCCCTCTCTACCATCGTTCTCTCACTCTTCTTCCCCCTCCCTATGCCAAATATGTGCCAACCTCTTAAATGATTAGGTGAGCGGACGATGAATCAATATTCAGCATGTGTTCAAACTTACTTCTGTATCGTCCCATTTATTCACCGTTTTGAAGATGTACTCCCTCGTAGACGTTTTGTGTAAAGAAAACACGCTACCATTGATACGTACCATCTCCAAGCCAGCTTTTACGAAACACAAATCAATACCTGAAGGATGGCAATTATGTGGAAAAAATACAACACAATTACCTGAATTATTTTTCGTTCCAAATGGTGGATTCATCAAAATGACATCGAAGTCACTTCGAAAACTCGTTGGTAATTCAAGTACGTCCGCTCTTACCAAGTCACATCTATTTCAATTTTTCCTTGACTTATAGAAGAGATTGCACAGGCAGTTTACCTGCCATCAATTTCCAAATCTTCCAAGTTATCCTTGCATGTCGAAATAGCGTGCTTATCAATGTCAAAACCTAAAACTGACTGACTTTACAAAGGCCAGAACCTGCTGAATGCCTTATTGAGCTGAACGCTAAATGCTACCAAAATGTTCCTATTCACCCACCTACCTATAACAGCTGCTGGTTCATAAGCAAGAGCCACTGCTGACATCAGCATTCCATATCCACATCCGAGATCACCAACAAATTTCCCATCCAATCCTACAAGCCGATCTATGCAATCGGTAATTGCTACTAAATTAGGACCATTTTGAATTATCTGTGAAGAATATAGGGGCTTACCTGCCAGTTCTGGTGAGGTCCCATACTGCTCCAGCTTGATATCTGGATTCTCAAAACCGCGCAATTCCGAAAGCATCCATTCTAACCGCTTTGGTTTCATTCTAAAATGCCATTGAGATTGTTGGTAGGAAAAAAAAAACAACCGTGCGATCGGTACAGGAACGAAAGCGCTGAGGAACCCGCACTTATTGAGGAATCATACTTCGCAGAAAGTCCAAAAGGCCCAAAAAATCCCAAAAATGTTTGGAAAGCCCAGAGCACCAGAAAGAGCCGGAACGCCCTTTTTTGCGCGCAAGTTTTAGAGCTAAAACATGTGCGTTATTTTCACAGTCGAGTCACTTTGCTTCATTTCCTGTCGTCTGCACATCAAAATAATGTCAAAATTCAGGGGCGTTTAGGCTCTTTCTGATGCTTTTGCGGCGAAATATGACGGATATCTGGGACTAGAATCATTCTGACAGGGGAAGGATGGTCAGTCGAAGTGGCCATTTGCATGATTTGTATACCATGTTGGAGGGTATAAAACGCGGATCCAAATCTATCTTCCTTATCTGCGGCGCGTTCCTGCACGAGAAGTTATGAGTGTTTATTGGAGAAGAAAATTGAATGTGCAAATAATATAAAAACAGTAGTAATATTATTCCTAGCGCTTAAATGGACCAGTGGTAATCTTTTCAGCGCTTTATAAAATAAATACCCTTACGTGAGATATATCCGCATTCCGGCTGTCTCATTCAAGCACTGGGAAAATTTTAGTAACTGCTTTTATTTCAGAAAATCACTCATTTTTCGCTCCTTTAAACGCTCATAACTCCTCATCCAGGAACGCGCCGCAAAGAAAAGCAGATTTGAGAGCAGCGTTTCATGGCCTCTACCAAGGTATACAACCGATTCAAAAGGCCACTTCACCAACCATCCTTCCCTTGCGAGGTTCCACACTCCAAAATTAATAATTGGCTTTTCAATCGATTTCTTTTTTCCAGCACATCCACGAAAGATCGTTTTGAACGAGTTTTATGCTGTTTATAACTATTGCGAGTTACAGTCCGTGTCACTCACGTGCTCTTTTTTCCGTAAACGCCATGAGCTTCGCGCCAAGTTCGCGCGCGTATGACTCAGGCATTCAAATGGGCCCATTGTGGGTCCGCAAGCAAGACCCTTGCGTTGCGCATGCGTACTTCCCATGCGAAAGGGAGAACGTAGTTGACATTGACTGTATATGATCCAAAATGCTAGTGTGCGCGAAGAATTGAGTCGCGTCCAAGCGACTGCTCATTGACATTTTTACTTGTAAATTACTCGAAATCTTTTAAAAATTTTAAAAAATCCGAATAGCTCTGTAAGAAAACTTCTTGAAATTATGAATAGCACCCCATCCGTTATTTTCAATTCAAAATTGCCGAAATTTGGTGAGGTAGTAGTTTCCTCTGTGTTTTGTCAAAATTATGAAGAGGAGAATGCAGATACGTTGTCAGGATCAAGGGGCTGCAGTACCCTTGCCTGAAGTAGCGGTGTTACGGTGTATCAAACATAGTGATTATATATGTTTATTACTAAAGATACAAAAACTAAACAATAAAGGTAGGGGGAGGGGAAGGGGTGTGTGTGAGTGTCCTGATGGTCTCCAGTCCTCTCTTATATGCAGGTCCGCCTTACAACAATAACAGCGGTTAGGGCGGGGTAAGACGTTGCATAACAAGTGATGTGATGTTACTCAATATTACCCAATGTCATGCAATCTGATGAAATGACTCATGACATCTCCGCTCCTACAGAAAGCTCGTCCTCGAGCGTCTTAACAAACTGGTTGAGATACTGATGGTGGTTATCGTTGAGCGTGTCGTTCAGCTAGCGTTTTGAACATAGTGGAGGTGGGATTAGGCGAGCTGTTGGCGCAGCTACGCCTTTTCCTCTCCTCCGGGTGGTTCAGAAAGCTCGTCCTCGAGCAGGAAAAATGATGGTTGGTTGAAGAGTGATTATGGTTAGTGTGAGGACTGTCGTTGTTGTAAGTTCGAGAGGATGGGATGGCGTGTACGTAGGGGGAGTGGGGTGGCGTTTTAGTGTTGGGGTGACATTGAGCGTTAATGTGCAAATATTTGTTAACATAATGATTAAGTTGAAATCTGCAAGATAAAAATACAGCGATTATGTAGTAACTTAAGGAGGTAGGTTTGCTTATTACAATTGAAATGAAAATAAAGTGGTTATTAAATTTTGTACAGCATTAAGTTACAGGCGAAGTTATGCTACTTTGAATTAGAAGGGGCTAGTTTATACTAGTACAATTCACTAGTGTAAAACTAGGACGAAATGTATTGTTAGATTTAATGATGATTGTGGTTGTTTGTTAGAGCTGCTTAATAGTGAGGAAGTTTGTTTAACTTCTTGGGGTCGTCGGCTCAAAGAAGTTTTGATTGTTGAAGCGGCGATGCGCGGAAAAATGGAAAAAAGGTTTGAAACATACCAATTTTTAGTGGAAAAGTGATCTTTCTTTAATTAGAGTTCATCAGAGTCTGTGCTGTCAGTTTCAAGATCCTGATTGTGAATTTCTAAGTTTGTAGGGCGGTTAAGAGGTTGCTCATCATCTTCTGATGTTTCCATTATGTGAGGTGAAGGAGTGGTTGAGGTTGGTTCGGAAACATTAGCCGATGAAGAGCGGAGACAATAGATCTTAAGTCTATTGATATGTACAGTTTCAGTAGATTTGGGGCCAATTAAATTTTGAATGGTAAGATTGGGACGATTAATCTTTGTTACTAGAAAGGGGCCTTTTCATGGAATGGTAAATTTGGGGCGTATCCTTTCATCGTGTAAGAGTCCGAGGTCTCCAACAGAAATTTGTTTTGAGAAAACCTTATGCTGAAAAATACCCTGCTTTGTATAATGCTGTTTTGCTTGCGATATGGTTTCCAACGTTTGTGATTGTAGTTTGCAAAGCTGTTGTGAGTTGATCAGCGAAGCTGTACGAGGCGTAGGAAATACGAGATGGAAGTTGATAAATAATATCACTCCATGTGATAGGATGACGTCCGTTAGCGACGAAGTATGGGCTGTATCCTGTAGTGTCATTAATGCTGGTGTTGTATGCGAACACGATGGGTTAAAGAAAATCACACCACATGTCGCGTGCTTCGGAGCAGTATGCGGTTAATGAGTCGGTAATGACTTTTACTAATCTTTCAACCTGGCCATTAGCTTTGTGATTATAGCTAGTTGTGAAAGAATTAGCGATTCCGAGAATGTTATTCAGCTGGGCAAAAATTTTGCTGGTGTAGTTGGATCCGCGATCAGAAACTATTTCGGTGGGGATGTCGTGTTTTGAAATGACATCGTTAATAAGTGCTTTTACGACTGTATCTGTTAACTGGTTGGGAATCGGAGTGCATGTAATAAGTTTGCTGAAAGCACAAACTGTTATGGAAATAAATCTATTGCCATCGATAGACTGTGGGAGTGGTCCAATAATGTCAGAGTGTAACCGTTCGAATGGTCTTTGGGGGATTGGAAATGATCCTAATTCTTCACGAATTATTTGTCCAGATGGAGTTTTGATTTTCTGACAAACTGAACATGATTTAACATATCTTGCTAGTGATAAAAAATTCCTGGCCAAAAGTATTTGGATTCTATGGCTTTTATGGTTTTTCGGACTCCTAAATGCGAACCTAGAAGTAGGTTATTGTGAAAGACTTGTATGATATTGTTTTGCATTTCTTTGTCTGGTATTACTAATTGGGGTTGTTTTTTGAATTTGGCATGAAGACAATTGTTGAAAATTGTATATTTATCAAGAGTGTTTAAAGGCAATGGCTCGGCAAATCTTAATCTAGAGAAATTCTCGCTTACCTGGGGTTTTCCAATGCGCTGGTCCCGAAGATCCACTTGAGAGAGCTTAAAAATGGCAAAAACGAGCGTTTTCTAATGCCCTTTGCTTTGAAACTGGACGAGTGCGGCACGGCTGAAGACGCCGAATCGTTACGGGACCCAATGACTATAGCATTGCGGCGGGCAGCCTCCAACGGTGAGAAAAGCGTTGTCATCTCGTCCGAGCGCGTGTACGCGTGTAAGTTTGAGAGCAGTTTTCTCGGCGGTGAAAGCATGTTATGCGACCAGGATTGTACTCTTTTCCTACTCGGGTGATAAGCAACCTAGCGCGTCAAAATCTTGTGTTGCTGAATTTTGCCGATCCACTGCCTTTAAGAATTCGTTAGGGAGATGAATTCTGCAGTGCAGTCTTCATCATGAACTACATATGTAAGTATGGTAATTTATTTGTCTGTTACTTGAAGTACTGGCGAAAGTTCTCCTATGAATGTAATCGGGGTTCCATTAGCGGTTATTCCTGCTTGTAATGATGGTTCTTTCAGAGTCATATGTAAAAGTTTTGCTAATCGTGCTGAAACTAAAGTTATAGCAGATCCTGTGTCAAAAAGTGCTATTACGTTCTTGTGATTGAGTTTTGCAGGTATATATATTGGTGATAAGGAATCGTGATGAATGAGAGAGACGCTGGGGATATTCCGTGTAGGAGATTTGTGTTTGAGAATTGTTGAGTATTCAGAATTGAGAGGGATATCGTTGAAACTTACTTCTACTGGTTTTCTCTGCTTGAATGTCTAACTAAAGGATTTCTTCGTTTGGGTTGCAAAATTGTTCGCGAAGCGCCAGCAGACGTTGCTGGCTTTCGTTAGTGTCGGTTGATCCTTCTGTTTTACGTTTGCAAAATGCCCAAATTGATGAACACGGTATGCATATTATTTTGAATATATAATTTAGAACTATTTAGGCTAAGGCAAATTGGTAGTAGAGCAAACCTAAAAGACCGATTATAATTATTACGATAGTCAAATAAACAACTGTTCTGACTACGTTATGTAGTCTAATGCTTTGACAATTGTTCGTTTCTCTTTTTGCAAAATGTTGGAGGCATTTGATTCGATGTATTTGATTTTATTTACCGTTTCTTTTTCAAATTCATCTGCTGCATCCTCGCGATAAGGTTTGGTGTGTGCTGCTGAAAGCAACTGTTCAGTATACCAGTGATTTTGTAATAAGTGTACTTCGGTGGATAGTCGTGCTAAATCTGAATGGAAAATTGGAGGTGCATTAAAGATGAAATCTTGGGTGGCTAATAAGTATGGTAGATAGTGTGAATTTGTGCTACGTCTATGACGCCTTTAGAAGATTTGTAATGATTAGTACCATCATTGTATATTCCGAAAGGAAGATGTCCACAATTGGCTTCAGCACTGCTAGTTGTTAAATCTTTTGTGCCGGGTATTACAACATGAATATCTTTCCCTATACGTACTGGGTGAATACATAGCAAATTCCATTAACATTATGGTCCAAATAAATTTCATCTATGTGTACTTCTTTACACTTTGAAATCATTAGCACATCTCCCGCTGCTATAGCAAAAATATCATTACGGTTTGATAAAATTCGGGCTGCACTTGTAGGGTTAATTTGGGCAATACTTTTTATGGCTTGATTTCTAAAGTTAGTTAGGCTACAGATACGGTCGAAAAGATAATTAAAATCGTGTCGCATTACTTCTTCTAATTTTATTTTTAGAAATTGCATTTTAGTGTTAAGTTCAAAATGTCGTTGATCTTGTCTTTGCTCATGCGTTAGCAACTGCGTCATTATTAATGTTCGCAAGATCTGGTTCGATATGTACGGCTATGTGTTGAGCTACAGCTGCTGAGTCATTTGCGGGATATTTAGTCAATGGTGGATTTTTGCTATGTAGTAAAAGTGCGGCAAGTTGTTTGTGATTTTTTTAAAGCGAAGCAGGTAATTTGTTCTTATTGAATTTGATTGTTGGTTGTGTAGAGTTTGGGAAGAAATGTGCATAGCTAAAATTGTTTGGAGGAGTCTGGTCATTAATGTGAGTGTTCGTCCAAATATTTCGTGTGTTCACGGCCGTGTGTTCGATGCTTGGATAATGATGTCAATGGTTTCTAAGAGTTACGCAATTGTTCACGAGAGGTCACTAGTGAGTGGCACAGTTGTCTAATTATTTTGGGGTTGGTTGGTTGGCAGTATGGTGTAATGGAAGTGGTGGCGTGGCGAAATATTTTCGCGTGTTACCACATGTGGCTCCCCGTCCGCGAAAATTTATCGCTACTGATGGTAGCGTTGAACGCGAAAAGCAGTGATTTATTCTCATAAGTACGGCGCTGAGGCGGGTTGTCGCGCTGATTTGTGGATCGGCGCGATTTTCACGTGCTACGAGATCCAAGTGATTTATTCGCGTAAATTGTGCTGCGTAGAATAACGTTGTTGATGAATGAGCAGCGCTCTTTCGCAACTACGTTGTGCAATGATTTGTTCGCGGAAACGATGTGAAGCGGAGAGAAGCTTTCTGATATAGATTGGTGCACTTCTATAATCAGAACTCTCTGCTATAGTTTAGTAATTACTTTCCCGGGGTTTGCGAGCGAGCCCATAGAATGAAAGAAAATTATTGTACTTGATTATATATTTAGCATTGAAAATTCGATAATTAGGTTTATTAATATTCTGTTTCTATAAATAAATTTGATATAAACTTTTTTTATTTTGAATCAAAGTTATGTATTTTACGTTGTAAGGAGGAATTCGGAATTGAAAAGAAATTTTTTTTAAACTAGTTGAGGTAATAATGGAGAAAAGAAATACGGTTGCAGTCAAATAGACTTCGTGTACTTGTAAATTTGGTAAGGGATTACTTTTATAAATAAAAACTGAGAGCGTTTCTGTTACGATTTGAACTGTTTTTTATAATTATTTTTACGTTTTTTTAACAAGGTACTCGCCCGCAGGACTTTTATATTGGCAATCTTCGGATTGCACATAATCATTATATATGAAGTTATTAGTAAGCTATAATTTAATATGTAAAGGAACTTACGTATTTCGTTCGAACTTCCTTAGTGATCGGCTAAGGAAGGAGAAGAAGACATAGGACGACATTTGGGGTGGGTAGGGTGGGGGATAGGGTAAAATTTTATTCCTAAGAACGAATAGAAATGGGTTTGTCTCAGAAAAAAATCAAAGGAATTCTAAAGAAAGATCTTCCCGGGACTTCCATGTCAGGATCAAGGGGCTGCAGTACCCTTGCCTGAAGTAGCGGTGTTACGGTGTATCAAACATAGTGATTATATATGTTTATTATTAAAGATACAAAAACTAAACAATAAAGGTAGGGGGAGGGGAAGGGGTGTGTGTGAGTGTCCTGATGGTCTCCAGTCCTCTCTTACATGCAGGTCCCCTTACAACAATAACAGCGGTTAGGGCGGGGTAAGACGTTGCATAACAAGTGATGTGATGTTACTCAATATTACCCAATGTTATGCAATCTGATGAAATGACTCATGACATACGTACAACAAAGCTTCATATGTTTCTTCGTCAAATTCTTCGTCAGTACATTTGAGTTCCGAGTAGAGAAGATCAGGTTCTTCCTCGTCACTTCCTTCAGACTCTGATAAGATGTTGCGCGCACCTTAAGAATTTCATTACGAATCAAATCGTGGCCACTTTACAGACAGAAACTGCCAATATGATTTGCGTAGCACAAATTATGATAGGACAGAGGGACTCAGGGCCGTTTCCGCAGACAACTGGTTCATGGGGGCCCAGTGTTCTAGCGCCTAATCAGGGTTATTTTTGTTCTAGTCTAGAAATTCGAACCAATTAACCTGCCTACATTCGAGTCGCACTTCCGCTCTGAAAATGGTACTATTAGAAGCTTAGGGAAAAAGCCCGAATGGCGACGCTTGCGAAATTTTTCCGACAAAAAGGCGGGATGCAAAAATTTTTAAGTAAAAAGGACTCGAGATGCAAGAATTTTTAGGTGAAAATAAGACTCGAGATGCGAAAATTTTTGGGTGAAAAAAGACTCGGAATGCAAAAACTTTCAAATGAAGAAAAAAAAGACTGAGGATTCTCAAATGAATGTAACATCTCTTACAAAAGTCCGAAGAATAATTACTCAAACAAATTTACTGTCCATCTAGATAAGCTTTCCGCCATTTTCTTTATTTACTGATCAACACAATTAAATATGGTTTGCACTTTGATAGGTAAGAAATCGGAAAGAATCGGATTTTAAGAAACATTATGTGCAGTCAGACTTGCCTTCGTTAACGTTCCTCAACTGATTCATCCGGTTCAGCCATTCGTTATTGGTCAAATGCTGAACTGACCAGTAGCGAAAGGGTGAACCGGATAAGTCTGGAACCTGTCTATGAAAGAAAAGGTAAGTAGGTGCTGAAACGGGTGATCCTGCGGTCTCCACACTAAATTTATGATCATAGCAATACGTGGAAACTAACAAGGGCTAATGCCAGTGGTGGACCGAAGGAGATAGCCCATGCACTCAGATAATCGCCGGGGGCAGGCGGTCCGCAAACTCGCGCTTTTCTGCAGGCGGTCAGCAGAATTTTGGGGCGTGGCCAAACCTTCAGCGGGCGGTACTTCCGCGTTCTGCCAGCGGGCAGCAATACAGAATTTTCTGCGAGCGCTCGTCAAATAATATCTTCCAGCGAGCGCTGGCCAAACTTTCAGCAAGCGCTCGGACTCTTTTTAGGTATTTTCGGGCGTACGTCGAGCGCAGGTAAGACTCTGTGTGGCAGAGGTGTCACCGTTGGTTTAATTACTCAAGTTTGAGGTACTTTCTCTCAGCGGAAAGTACCTGGGGTTGCGCGGTCCTCCACAAAAGAACGTGCGGCCCTCGAAATTTTTGCATATTCTCGCGGAAAGTCCGCGAGAATGCGGCCACTGCGCCGCAGCTAATCCATAAAGAAACCGCGATTGTTCTTCAAGCATTCGTCTTTAATTTTGCCAACTTTCTTCCAAATTTCTGCAAGCGGGCCGCAAAAAATCAACGAACTATTTTTCCGGTGCGCGCTTGCTCAAAATTCGCATGGCCGCCTGCCCCCGGCGGTTATCTGAGTGGGGGGGGGGGGGGAAGCTCATACGTCGCGAAATTTCTGAGGTCACTGAAAATTTTTCGAGTTTTCCAAAATCCAGATTACCTCCGTAGAAGCCAGAACTTAGAGGTTGTTTTCTTTAGGAAAGGCATTATTCACGCCTCTCAATAGAAAAAACATTGCCGAACCCACCCCTCTCCAAAAAAAAAATCTGTGACCGGCACTGGTTGGTAAATATCACATGATTGCGTTGAAACAGGTATGCAAACAACGGAAGCGTTTATAACACTGATAAGAGGAAGTCTTCAAGTGAAGCAGTAACCTACAGGAAGTGCCAGAAGATCCGTCGCTGATTTTTGCATACTGATTTTTGATCTTGTTAAACAAGAACATCCAACAGGGCAGTTTAGTTTTGAATAAATATTTATGACTAGTTTCCTTTCTTCATATTCAAATGTATGATTAACAAACAAATGTGGCAAGCTAGCAAGGCTTAGTGCTTTTTGACAACGCGCAGACATTTTGTATCAAGCATTGCTTGCTGCGGATAGGCGCCCAAGACCCTACAAAATCATTCTACAGGCCACGGATTATCTGACGCCATGCTTATGTTGACTTTTGGCAAGTTTCGCGGCCGAAGGGTCATTTGACTACTGTAGACGGGACGGGTTTTGTGGGGGTGGGGAGGGAGGGAGGGGGGGGAGTGCGGCCGGCGCTATCCATAGGGTGGCGAGCAAGAGGAACGATGGCTGGCGGCTGTCAGTATTCGGCGTATCTTTTACCGTTTTTTCCTATTCTGCCCGCGACAATTTAGAGCATTTTCTTTTTCTAAGCTGTCTATCAGATCGAGAGTTGATCAAAATGTTTGCTTAGATATGAGGTTTGGAACACGTTAAAATGTTGAAAAGACGTTTCAAAGGTGAAACTTTGAGATTCACGTTTTTCAAGTGACATTGTCTGCGCTTGTCACCGGTTTCCGAGCGATACTCATTGTTCGAAGCAATTATCTCACATCAGTTCTACTCGTTCTCATCGAGTCGAAAATTTGAGATTTCTAAGGCAAATAGTGCTTCGCTATTCCTTGGCAGCAGCGGTTGGAAACTGCTATCGTCCCTCTTGCGCCGCACCCATATCCGTAGCGCGGCAATGGTAACGTAGAAGTAGAGGGAACGAATTACCCTATTTTCAGGTGTATAAGCCGCACTTTTCCAAATATTCGCCCGGGCTGCTCAGCCGCTTCATTGTGTTTCGAGAAGCGATCCTTATGCCGTACGACTCTTTCACTCAATACACACCACGGCGTAGGGTCTTTTGGTTGCGGGGTCCTTTGATGTATTCGGGCTGGTCGATTTAAGCTAGGACCACCCCGCGGCTTATACACCTGAAAATAGGGTAATTAAAACTTGCTTGTAAAGAAAGGTATGATAGAATATCACGTTGGAGAGCACCGCGAAGCATATGGTATCGGAACTTATGTCCAAAAAAATTTGCGAGGGTGTGCCTTAAGTAGGAAAATGAGGGCGATTGACCTGTTTAGAATAGGGATGGAAGAACAGTTATGCAAGAAATAAAATAGTACTAATATCAATGTTGCTTGTTGGGAAATATGGGTGGGAATCACGAAAATCAGAGATAAAAAATCTGTCGCTTCGCCGCAACACAACTTTATGAGTGGCAAACTCTAGTTCATGGACGTTATTACAGTTTCGATGTTTGTAATTATGCAGAGAAGGGCTTTGATCTTAGTCTGGGTTCATACTCAACAAGTGGTGGTGTACTCTTTGGTTCAGCTGGATTGGCGGCTGGAAGGCGGGGCTTCGTGACCTAATTGAGGCTAGGATATGATCAGAGAGCACGTTCGCGAGGAAGATGCAGACTGCATCGCGGACGCGAGCGGTCGCCTTCCAGCCGCCAATCTCGTTGAATCAAAGGGTAGTTTCAGGGACGCTTCGAAAGTGCCGGACCTTTTAGATCATTTTCCTAGAAAAAGCCACCGAGAGCGTCACTGACAGAGTTTCCAGAGATAGAAGCAACATGATCGCGAAACAGAAAATTACCTTTAAGAAATCATTCACGCATTATCCGTATCTATCACGGCCTATCCGTGGTATCCGCTCTATGTCAGAGTTCCGTTTCACTGGAAGGAGTGTTGAAGGCAGTGGATCGGCAAAATGGACCCTTCTCGGATTTTAGTGGATTTAGGTAGTAGATGCCTCAAGCATGCTCCACTGTAGTCCAAATCCCACTTGTCAATATGCTATGCCCTGAAAAATCGGCTTCAAAACTCCACCGACCTCGCTTACTCAGTGGTAGTGGGCCGGGCTGGAGGGATTTGAAAGCATTTTTCAGGACGTAGCGCATGAATTGGCAGGTGGGGTTTGGGTTGCAGTGTACTTAAGGGTACTACTTAGATCCACCAAAATCCGAGAAGGATCCATTCTACCGATCCACTGGCTTTAATAAGCGAAACGTAAAATAGTGAAAGCAAACAGTAAATTTCAATTTATCCCGCTGGCAGAGATTTGGGCGGGACTGGAATTGAAACTGTGACGAGATAAGATCCGATCCGGCGCGAGGCTGAGACTGGGCTCTATGAAGTATCCTCAGTTCATGTTTTCTTGCAGTTTTGAAGCATCTTTGCTTAGTACCCGTTAATGTCTCACATAAAGTTGCACTAGGCAGATCTTCTTGGAAAAATGTAAGCGTTGGCATGCAGCTGAGTTGTTTAGAGCAGAAGTTATCTTATGAAGTTGAGGAAAGTGAAGATGTCTCCTTGTCAGCAAAGTAAAACTTCCGTAGAATGTAATGCTAATGAGTAATGTTACAACTAGCATCGGTTATGTATCCTTTTATTCTCAGGAATTTCTATAGTATTGTATTTTGTCATAAAATAAGTTAGTGTAGCAGTTGGCAGCGAGAGTAGGGCTAAATCTGACACTCTTGAAAGAGAAGAGTTTTGATTAGAAATCAATCACGTTATCATCTTTAATCATGACTCACGATAGAAGAATCAAGGGGCGCCCTGTAACTGCACCAAAGCAACGAGAGTTTTTTTGTCGTTCCAGTCACAAATGACCTTGGCGACAAAGAGGTTTGCATTTTATATGTTGTTTCGGTTGTAATTAGAAGCACACTTTTTAAAATTCAGCGTAATCTTCTTTCGCATAACATAACGTTGGCCCTATTTGTTTTGATTTTCTGCCAGGCTACGTGGCAGTAGGCGTTCTAGCGTTTTTCCATCTCAACGTAGGCATAGGCTGCTGTTTGATGCAAATATAGCAGCAGCTATATGCTCATTTGCATTACAGAATTCCTCTCTTCGCATCCAAAAGTTCATTCTTCATCTTATATATAAAGCTGAATGTCTGTTTGTCTGTCTGTATGTCTGTCTGTATGTCTGTCTGTCTGTCTGTCTGTCTGTGTGTACGTATGTTCCGAATAGAAAATTCCATTTCCGAACCGATCCGGACCAAACTTGGCACACATACACTACGGGCCCCGGCGGGTGTCATAGGCTACTTTTCGTCATCGATCGATATCGATTTTATCGATTTTTATCGATTTTTTTGCT